AGTAGCACAGCTAAGTGTCTGAGGCCATATTTGAACTCAAGAATAGGAGTCTTTCTGACTCCAGGCCTGGTACTCTATCCACTCTGCCACCTGATGGCCCTTATATAAAACTACTGTTATTTACATCTTAAAAGAAAAAACTTTCAGGAAGACTTACATGAACTGAATCACAGTGAAGTAAGCAGAACCTAAAAAATGATTTGTCCAATGACTACAAATATCAACAATATTTTACATGTAAAATCAATTTTTATCATACATTTTTAAAAATTTTGAGTTCCAAATTCTCTCCCTCTCTTTCTTCCTTCCTCCCTCCCCAAGAGAGTAAACAATTTGTTATAGATTTTATATGTGTAATCACGAAAAACATATTTCCATATTCAAAGACTATAAGTATATAAATAGAAAGAACACAAAATGAAAAAGAAAGGGAAGACTGCAAAATTAGAAAGAGTGGAGGCTAAGGCACCTAGCTGCCCTTGCAGCCCCTGAATGCAGTCTGCAGATGAGTAAATAGTAAAGTAATCCCAGACCAAAGAGAAGCCTGCAGCTCTGTTCATTTAAACCCACAGAGCTTTCCTACTGGCTGATAGTGGATTAGACTAGCTACAATGTACTACACAGACCAGTAAGGGGTTATATAAGATGAGTTATATAGACCCAAACACAGGTCAAGATTGCACAAGATCTTATTCTATTTTTGTTAGACCTAAAAGTGTTTGGGTGCACAGTAGAAGAACTCTTTGATGTGAAAGGAAGGCAGTGAAATAATCTAGTCCCTTTTGGAAGTAATGCCCGTTTTGTCACAACATTTGAGCCCAGTGTAGAGGGATCTCTTCCTGGCAGTGGGGAGAGAATGAGTGCAAGGATGCCAGCCTCTCCTTTCCCTCTGGGGTCACTGGAAACACAAGCATAAACTAGCTGTGCACCCCAGACAAGCCATTTAACCCTCTTTGCCTCATTTCCTTGTCTGAAAAATGAACTGGGGAAAGAATTTTTGCAAACCACTCCACTATCTCTGCCAAGAACATCAAAAATAGAGTCATGAAGACTTAGACCCAACTGAAAACTACTGAAGGACAACAAAATCTGACCACATTCCTCTAGGAAAAGTACTATCAGAATTATTTACTGCATTTTAGAGATGAGAAAACTGAGGCACAGAGGAATGAAGTGAGTTACATGGCTAGCCAGGGTTGAAGGCACAATTTGAAAGCAGATCTTTCTGATTCCTGGTTCTTTATTAACTTTATGGGAGTTGGTCTGCAATGTGATTTGCAATTCTATTCTACACTCTGGGGCATTTTACTATTGCTAATGAGGAGGAACTCAAGTGATTAACAATCAATTTTGGGAAATATAGAACACTCCCAGAACTCCAGGGGAAAGAGGTCCCACTACACATTTTTAATTCTATCTATGCGACCACTGCAAAGTCATTTTAGTCCCCCATCCTCAGTTTCTCCATCCATAAAATGCAAGAGACCCATTAGCTACTTTTCCTATGTAGCTCCAGGGGTAGCCTCTGAGTTCCCTCCCAGACTTACTTCTATGCTCCTTGGCAAGTGTTTATAAGAGGTCGGGCTGGTAGCTGTTTGATTGCGGGCAATTCTCTTGTGTTTTTTAAGCTTATTTTCCCCCATTTCCAAGATAAGAGAATTGGAGACCTATGAGGGTCTCCTGTTTTCCATCTATAAGTCTGCAGGTGGGCTAATCCCAAGAGAATTATTGGATGAATGATCCCTTTCTCTGTCCCACTAGGAGTGTCATGGGCTCAAAGCTAGAAGGGACCCTCAAAATCATCTTATCTAACCTCCTCACTGTTGAGAAAACAGTGGCATAGAAGTGAAATTATTTGCCCAATGTAACATAGATGACCTCTCCCATCCTTCAGTCCCTCTTCCCAGTTTTTTTCCTATTGAAGACTAAACTTCCTTTCATCCATCTAATTGGGTGTCCTGCCCTGAATCTTTAACACACATTGGAGCTTTGATTTTCATGGAAATAGGTCACAGACCACATGACTAATCATTTAGGAGGCAGTTTAGTGCAGGGGAAAGAGCACCAGATGTGGAGTCAGAAGACTTTCCTTCAGATCTTAGTCTGGCACTGATTAAATCTGTGTCCTGGGGCAAGTTTCTACTTCCCAGAGTTCTTTAGTTTTCCTGGAGAGGTGCTGAAGAGAACTACATTGGAAATCAGACCAAATCTGAATTTTGCAACTCATTAATTCTATGATCTTGTAAAAGTCACTTAAACTCTCTGGGCCTCAGTTTCCTTATCCGTAACATGAGTGATTTTGAGACATTGCTGCTGTTGTTGGATTGTTTCAGTTGTACCCAACTCTCTGTTACCCCATTTGGGGTTTCCTTGACAAAGATGCTGGAGAAGTTTACCATTGATTTGGGATAGATGACAATTATAGTCTCCAATCTCTGAGTATGTAATCAGCTGAGAAAAGATATTTAAAGCATTGTGCAAACTACAGTGTAAATGTTAACTATTATTAAGTTTTACTCCTACGGATATGATGAGCTTTTGAAATACCTTAAGCAGCTCTGGAAGACCAGGAACCTCTCATTCCTTTTACTCCCACCGTGGACAGCGCTGCTCATTCTACACTGGCTTAGTTTCCAACCAATCTTCTATTCAGAGGTTAGGGCACTAGGGAGGGAGAGCAGCTGGGGTTCAGGTAAGAAAGGGTAAGTAAGAATGTTGACTCCTCAGTCTTTTCCTCATTCCCACTAGTGTTAGGGGGCCTGCTTCCCACTGTCTCTGGCAACAGGGTCAATACAAGAAGGCAAAATCTGAAATCCCAGGGTACACGTTTTATTTGTCTCATCCCTCCCCCTGCCCAGAACAGATTTTGGGGTTTGTTCTCACAAACAACATATCAAGAGGGAAATCAGAGGAAAAGGAAAAGGTAGGAATAAGAGAGAAGCAGTGTCCTGTAGACATGAGGAAAAGAGGTAAAAATTGTGAGATGGTAATACTATTATATAAGCATAAGAAAAAGAGAGCTGAGCACCCAGAGCAGTATGCCTGATGGACATTGGTCCTCGCCTATCTGAACAGTGAGTATTCCTGCAGGCTCACTCACACTCCTCAGTCTCTAACAGGCACATCTGTGCATGTGTTCTGTGACCACAAAAACAGAGGGCTCTCCCAAAGACACCGCACTGAAATCAGAAACCCACATCATGGATCATGGAGGGGGAATAAGAGGGTAGCAAACAGTCCTGGTGTAGTAGCACTAAGGATACCTTGGCTTCCAAGGTCCCTATCACATCATCCTAAGAGGATACAGAAGGCCCTGAAAGTCCAGGCCTTTGAAATTCAAAGATGCAAAGGCAAAAGGTCTAATCCCAGGTGTTACATACAGTTCAGAAGAGGATCTGAAGCAACTGAGGTTGGAATGACATAAGGCTGATTATTCCCTTTGTCTTCCTTCTCTTTTATTCTCATGTTTTCCCTTTCCTGTAACTTCCCTATTGGATATGTCATTCATGAGAACAAACCCAAAGATATTAAATAGTTGTTTTAATATTTTTTAAAATTACATGTAAAAACAATTTCTAACATTCATTTTAAAGTTTTGAGTTCCAAATTCTCTTCCTCTCTCTCCTCCCCCCTCACTGTGAATGCAAGGTATCTAGGGAGAGTTAACAAAATTGAAAGAGAAAAGCAGGAAGGTACCAAAGGACCTCCAACCTAATTTAACCAGATTTTTAGTTTTCAATAACTCCTCACCAAGCCTTTGAGTGATCAGGTCAAGGGAATTACTCATTTGGCCAATTGGGTGGCCTGGGCTAATACTAACATCAGCCAAGTCTTTCCCTAGGCTAAGGTCAAGCAAAGCCCCTTAATTTTATGGACATTTGGACTCAGGGCCTAGACTGGACAGGGTGTCCAACCTGAACCCAATGGGACTCATCAGGTTCTTACTCTGTTCAATGTGATCCCATGCTGGTCAGGTCTTGTCCATTTGAATTCTAAAATCGTAGAAACTTACTCAGCTTCCATGATCTCAGAGAACTCTGGGGTATAATTTGCAGTGACCACAGGAGAATCCCACTTCTGACACCATATTGTTGTTTTTAAGAACAAACCCCAAAATCTCAAAAAGTTTTAGAAAGAAATTTATTGGGTTATTTGGTAGAGGAGAACATGCCAGAAAGGAGGTGTAGATCCCCCTCATCCAGGCTCTGGAACGTTTACATTGTATATGATTCAGACAAAGGTACACACTCACAAACCACATGTACACAGTGAAGTGATTTTGCTGAACGGGGAACTTGAAAGCAAGGTAGGTTGAGATGGAAAGGAATAAATGTAAACATTCAATGAAATGTGGGCAAAGTCAAAAACACAAGCTGGAGTACACTCAAACAAGACCTGGTTGTGGAGACGCAACACAAAAATGGTTTAGGGGGTCCAGGAATTGGTGGACTCCAAAATTCCTTGCAGCCATCTCTGAAATTCCTGGAGAGTTATTGAGGTCAAAGAGACATTCCAGATTCATCTGTTAGATTTAAACACTATAATAATTAGTACATTTTATCAACAATATAATAAAGAATCCACAGGTGAAATGGATTTCTGTACCCAGCAGTGTGTATGTGCATCTTTCCCACCTTTGTCCAGGTCAGACAATAATGAGGTTAAAATACTAGCTGCTGTCCCCTTTTCCAGCAGCCCCTTCATCATTAAGGCATCTACTTGGGCGCCATAATTGTATGAGACAATTTTGTCCATTATTCCTTTCCCTTTGCCCTCCTCCCTTCACCAGTGCACCCTTCTTGTGTTCCCTATCTAGTATTCATTTTTGTTCAGTTTGTTCAGTTATGTCTAACTCTCCATGGACCCATTTGGGGCTTTCTTTTTAAAGATACTGGAGGGCCATTTCCTTCTCCATCTCATTTACAGAGGAGGAAACTGAGGCAAACAGAGCTAAGTGACTTGCCCAGGGTTACACAGCTAGTAAATGTCTGAGCAGGTTTTGAACTCTGGAAGATGAGCCTTCCTGCCTCCAGGCCCAGCACTGTATCCACTGTGCTACCTATCTGCTCTATTCTTCATTTAAGATCATCAGAAGATGAAATCACTACTCCCATGACCTCTGTGTCATTAGATTCCCTGGATGATGTGTGATGACAGAATTCTGAGGGGATTGAGTCATCTTTGCACAAAAGAATGCAAACAGTTCATCTGTGTTTCCAGACTGACAGCTCATATTTACTTGCTCCAATACAATACACACTTCTTCTTCTTCTAGGTAACATCCGTGTTCAATTCTTTGGAAACTATAGTGTTCCAAATTTCATGACCATACAATACTAATAGACTACTGGTATTAAAAAGATGAGATGCTATTTCTAGGAAAAGTTAGGGGACGTTGAAAGAGCTTTCACAGCTAGATAGGAGATACCTCAGAGACATTTATTCCAAACAATTTCTGACAAGAATGCCTTCCATCCATGCCTAGCATCCCTAACAGGTGACCGCCAAACTTGTCCTAATACCCACAGTTACATCTCCTCCCCCATAACACTTTGAGGCAGCTCTAATTGGACTATCTTTTCTTACTATTTATATACCAAGACTTAATCCAGTAATTGGCCACTGTAAGCAACAAATGATTTTGCATTCTTCCATTTCTGATATATCAGCCATAGGATACTTTCCCAAATTCATTACATTTAAAGGGGGTGGGTATTTTCCAAGAAGAATCCTTTCCTATTTAAAAGCAAAAGAAGGCATCCCCATATTTTTTAGGCTTTCTTCTCTCCAGTATGAATTACATAATGTCCTTAAAGGCTGAGCTCAGAATGGAGGTTTTCATTATACTAATAAGGTCTCTATCCAGGGTGAATCTCCAGACGTACAATAAGGTTTAACTATTCAGTAGATGCTTTTCCACACCCTTTACTTTTCCACATTCTCTCCATTATGTTTCCTTTTGTGTAAGATCAGGAGGACCTTTCTCATAAAGGCTTTCCCACATTCACGGCATTTGTAAGGCTTCTCTCCAGTGTGTGTCCTCTGATGGCGTATCATGTTGGATTTTTGATTGAAAGCCTTCCCACATTCGTTACATTGGTAAGGCTTCTCTTCAGTGTGAACTCTCTGGTGTTTAATAAGGGTGGAGCTCTGAGTGAAGGCTTTCTCACATTTATTACATTCATAAGGCTTCTCTCCAGTATGAATTCTCTGGTGTTTAACAAGTATTGAGTTTTTAGGAAAGGCCTTCCCACAGTGACTACATTTATAAGGCTTCTTTCTATTATGAGATTTTTTATGTGAAGAAGGGTTGAGCTCTGACTGCAGACTTTCTCACATTTCTCATTTTTAGAAGGTTTCTCTTCAGTATGAATTTTCTGGTGCTCATTTAGTGTTGAGTTTTTACGAAAGGCTTTCCCACATTCACTACATGTATAAGGCTTTTCTCCAGTATGAATCATCTGATGGGAAATAAGGGTTGAGCTCTGACTAAAGGCTTTCCCACATTGCTCACATTTATACCGCTTCTCTCCAGTATGAATTCTCTGGTGGTTGAAAAGGGTTGAGTTTTGATTAAAGGCTTTCCCACAAGTATTACATTTATAAGGCTTCTCTCCAGTATGAATCTTCTGATGTTGAATAAGGTTTGATCTCTCCACAAAGGCTTTCCCACATGTATTACATTTATAAGGTTTCTCTCCAGTATGAATCCTCTGGTGTTTAATCCGGGTTGACCTCTGACTGAAGGCTATCCCACACTCATCACATTTATAAGGCTTCTCTCCAGTATGAATCCTCTGGTGGTTGGATAAGGTTGATTTTTGAGTGAAGGCTTTCCCACACTCATTACATTTATATGGTTTCTCTCCAGTATGAATCCTCTGGTGTTTGAAAAGGGTAGCATTTTGAGTGAAGGCTTTCCCACACTCATTACACTTATAAGGCTTCTCTCCAGTATGAATCTTCTGATGTATATGAAGTTTTGAAATCTCAAAGAAGGCTTTCCCACATTCCTCACATTTATAACGTTTCTTTCCAGCATGAACCTTCTGATGTTGAATAAGTCTTAAGTTGTCATGAATATTAAATTACATGCATTACATATATAAGCTTTCTTAATAGCAGGGATTTCCTGACGTTCAGAAGAGTGTGAATATTGAGGGGCTGCTTTCCCGCGCTCCTTATGCTTATAAGTTTTGCCTCTAGCTTGAATCTTCTGGCGTTTGGTGATTTTTCTCACATCACTCTCCTCTTTTACTTCCTCACTTTTTACCTGGCTCTCACTTTCACCCCATTTCCCACAAAGAGAGGAGTAATCATTCACACTGCCAAGTCTTTCAATCTTCACTCCATGGGAAGATCCCTCCTCTGGCTCATTCTCAGTCTTGATCTTGGATTCCAAATCTGAAAAACAGTAATATAAAGAACAAATGTCTGATATATATCTAATATAAAGTACAAAGTTTCTTAGTTTTGAGAGTGGAAACTAAGGATGAAGTGATGCCACTGCAAATGGTACCTAAAGAAAGATAGCACCTGGTGCAAACATATTTTGAAATCTCCCTTTTAGCATCTCTAGAAGTATTGAAAAATAATATTTTCCCTAGTCTAATAACCTTTTCCAGACTCTTCCTTATTTGAAAGTATGTAGAAGACCAAGAACACAGGCCTTTCTTAGGGAATGAGTTAAAGGTAGTAATCAATCTTTAAACAAAGGTGATATCTTTTTTTAAAAAAAATTCATTGGCCATCCCTTCAGTAGACTATGATATGACCTACCTAGAATCACTTTCCTTGTTTCCATTCAGAAGGTAATGTTATTGTCCAGAAGGAGGAGGTCTCCTTGGTTCTGAAGGAGGTCCAAAACACTTGAGGGGATGGGTTACTTCAAAGCAGGCTAAGTCGAAGACTCCCAGGACTCCTTCTCAACCTGTGACCCAGGGGCCTCCTCACAGTAGACAGTGCCCTGAACATTTTGACCCCAACTCTTTTTCTCTACCTCGTGAGTTCCTCACCAGCATCTCCATTTGAGAAAGTACCCACAGTGGCCATGATCACTTTACACCTGAACACCCCTGTGTATTTCTCTACCTTGCTCATTCGGGTTCTTCTCTCCCCAACATTGAAACAACCTTTTTATATGTTGACTCTCTTCATTGAAATGTAAGCTCTTTAAGAGTTGAAAATTTCTTTATTTGTGCTTTTTTTAAAATTTTCATGGTGGAGTATTTCTCACTCTCCCTGGTTTTCCTCCAACCTGTCTCCCCACACTTTTTCTCCTTTGCTGGATCCTCCTCCACATCAACCCTTTAAACTTAGGTGGCCCTCAGGGCTCTGGCCTGGGCCCTCTTCTCTTCTCCCTCTATACCTCTTCACTTAGTCATCTCAGAAGCCTCCATGGATTTAATTACCATCTCTGTGTTGATGATTCTGAAATCTACCTTCCCTGCCCAACCTCTCTACTCACCTCCAATCTTGCATCTCCAACTGCCTTTCAGACATCTTGATCTGGATGTTCAACAGACATCTACTCAGTATGTCCAAAACTGAACTCTTTGTCTTTCCCTCTAAACCCTTCCCCCTCCTACCTTCCCTATTACTGTAAAGGGTAACACCATCCTCTGAGTCTGTCAGCCTCACAACCTAGGAAGTATCCTGGACTCCCTCCTTTTTCCCCTCCCCAATATCCAAGCTGTTGCCAAGGCCTGTAAATTGCAACTTAGCAACATCTCTTAAATATGACCCCTTCTCTCCTCTGACATGGCTCCCACCCTGGTCCAGACCCTCATCACCTCACACTGAGACTATTGCAATAGCCTGCTGGGGGAATCTCCCTGCCTCAAGACTCTCCCCCCTCTAGTCTGTTTTCCATTCATCCACTAGAGTGATTAGGCTAAAATGCTGGTCAGATCATGTCACCACTCCTCTCCCACTTCAATATACTCCAGTAGCTCCCTATTGCGTCCAGGGTCAAATACAAATGCTGCTTGGCATGCAAAGCCTTTCATCACCTTCCCATCTTCCCAGTCTTCTGCCACCACGTATTCTGTGACCCAGTGACACTGGCCTTCGCACTGTTCCACAAACAACAAAATCCTCTCAGCTCCATGTATGTTCTCTGGCTGTTCCCCATACCTAGAATGCTCTGGATCCTCTGCACTGCTGATCTCCCTGTCTTCCTTTAAGTACCAGCTAACATCCCACCATCCTCAGGAAGCCTTCTCTAACCCCTCTTTATATCCATGCATGCAGGAGGCATGTAATAAATGTTTATTCATTCATTCACAGTCCCTCTTCCAGGCACATAGTAAGCATTTAATATGAGTCTATCTATCAAGGGTAGAACAGAACAAATGACTCTTGTTTGGTAATATAAACACAAAAATGTGTTTTAAATTAATTTGTTTTGTTTGCTTAAGATTACTCTAAATGTTACCACAGATTTTGTTGAACAGATGAAGAATGTCTGAGGGCACTGGGGTGAGAGTGGGGTAGACTATGGCAGTTTAAATGGCTTTCTGTCACAGAGAAATTACTTCAATTTAGAATTAGTTATTCAGTGGTTCCACTGATATCCAACTCTTCATGACCCCATTTGGGCTTTTTGTGGCAGAGACACTAGAGTGGTTTGCCATTTCCTTCTCCAGCTCATTTTATAGATGCAGAAATTGAGGTAAACAGGGTTAAGTGACTTGCCCAGGGTCACACAGCTAGGAAGTGTGTAAAGCCAGGTTTGAATTCAGGATGAGGAGTCTTCCTCACTTTAGGTCTAGCACTCTAACCACTGCACCACCCAGATGTCTAATTGATTTAGAATGAGATGAGATTAAAAAAAAATGTTTCTGGCATGGCAGCCATGCATAAAATACAGTGACATATAGCTATAGACATATTGTTCTCTGTATACATGTATATGTAGTTATACATCTCTATGTGGGTGTCTATACATAGATATGTATAGTTATATATAGATGTATAAACATATACATTTCTATGATTGTGTATATATCTATTTCTTTTTGGGTCTCTGTATGTTTGGGTATATTTCTAGAGAAGAACTCAGTATACTTCTTAGCAGTTTGGACTCATTGGTCCTAGTGAATCATAGTAAAATAATAATATCTGATAGGTTTATGGGGCTTTTAAGTTTTGCCAAGTGTTTTCCTTCAACTGATTATGGGAGACATCTTATGAACAGGTACCATGGGGAAAGATGACCTTATTTTACCTGTAAGGGCTAGAAAGAGGCTCATGGTTTCAAGGTCTTTCCCAGAGCCACAGGTAAGTTAACGATAGATTACACTAATTTGGGACTTTCTGGGTACTGAGGGCTTTCAGCCTAGGACTCTGGGGTAGAGTGGTCATTATTATCCAGCCCATTTTTCATAAGACACCTATATGAACTCTGTCTACAGCTTCCAGATATTTCTGCTACCCTGCGTAATCAATTTATGGGTTTTAGGGTGCCAAGAAGCCACAAATGTAGAGTTAGGGCCGCAGGGGATGCATAGCACAGGATATTTATCACAAGCATTCTGTCAGGGGTGTGTGTGGGGAGGGCTCTCGTGGCATTAGGTCTTGCTCAATAGATGTCCCAGTGACTTGTATGCTAAATGACAGAGCAGGATATTGGATAAGCAAAAGGATCAACAGATATCTTTATTGGGCAGGTTACATATTAGACCATCTAAGGCAGGAAGTATAGAGAAAAAGGAGAGGAGGAACTAGGAAAGAACCTTGAGGCATACTCACCGTAAGTGTTTATTACGTGGCTTGTCATGAATACATTTTTGGGGTTGGGTTTTTTTTTTTGCTTGTTTGTTTTGCAAGCTCCATGAGTTATTCCTTCCTTCTAGAGCTAACAACCAAATTAAACCCTCTTCAATGTGACAGCCCTTCCCATATGAGAGGCAGCAGTTTCCCCCATAAGTCTTTTCTCCAAGCTCTAAATCCCTGCTTCCTTCAACCAGTCATCACAGGACAAGAAGTCAAGACCCTTCAGCATCCTCCGAGCATTCTTTTTATTCAGGGAATCCAGCACTGAACACAATAGCCAGATGAACTCTGACAAGGCCAGAGGACCCAGGCTCTATCTGATCCCTACTCTTGGAAACCACAGCTCATGAAGGCTGAGGTGGCACCAGCGTTTGGGCTCTTAGTTCACCCTGCTGATTCAGACTGAGCTTGTAGTCCCAGATACTTTGAAAAACATTGTTGTCTTTGATCTCCTGTGGAATTTCCCCCAGTTCTCTAGCATATACTGATCCTTTTGGATCCTGACCCTATGGTCCAGTGTGTTTCCTCCCAGGTTTGAGTCATCTGTAAATTCCTTGTGTGTAGCATGCGTGCCTTTATCCATGTCAGAGAGAAAAATCAAACGACAGGAAAAGAAGTGTGGGTCAGTGCAGCATTTCTTTTAGGTACGGAACAGAAAGAAACAGTGACCAAAATGGAGGCATTTGTTAGAACAGAAAATAACAGTCCAGAGAGAAAGACAGCCATTAGAAAGGAGTCACGTTTTTTAGGTACAGAGAGAAACTGAAGCATGTCGAGATAGAAACACAGCCATAGAAATTGAAGCATGATTTTAGGTAGAGATGGGAACAGAAGGATGTCCAGATGAAAACACAGCCTCAGAACTGGAAACATGCTTTTCAGATCCAGGAGGGAACAGAAAGAAGTCCAAATAGAGACACTGCTGGAGAAATTGAAGGACTCTTTTAGTGCAGAAGAGAATAGGAGGAAGTTCAGGTGGAAGCAAAAGGGCAGAGAAAGTGAAGTATTGTGTTTAGTCCGTTTTCTAGCAGAAGCAAACAGAGGCAAGTCCGGAGAACCACAGCAATAGAAATTGACCCATTCTTCTAGGTACAGAAGGAAGTTCAGATAGAAACATGGCCATAGAAATTATGGGGATTTTTTTAAGCTACAGAACAAAATGTAAGAAAGTCCAACTAAGAAAAAATGTTTACCTGCTGAAGGGAACAGAAGGCTATCCAGAGAGAAAGGCAGCCACAGAAATGGAAGCATCCTGAGTAGGGGAGGGTGGGAGGGAGGGAGAGAATCTGGAACTCAACATTTTTAAAAGAATGCTTAAAAACAATTAAATAATAAAAAGCAGAAATGGAAGCATTCTTTAGGTACAGAATGGAAAAGAAGGAAGTCCAGATAGAAACACAGACAGAGAAACTGAGGGGTTTTGTTTTGTTTTGTTTTGTGTTTTGCATTTAGAAGTCCAGACAGAAATGCTGCTGTGGAAATTGAAGCAATCTTTTTCAGATACAGAAGGTAAGTAAAAGAAAGCAGTCCAGATAGGAACTCAGCCATCAAAAACGAGGTTTATTTTTTTGTTTTGTTTTTTCTTTAGATATGGAAAGGAAAAGAAAAAATCCAGACTGGGAAACAAT